AAGATAGGATACAAGATGGATGGATTTGGGCTACTCCCATTCCAGGTAGCATGAGAACCAAGGCAAGACTAGGAAACAAGGAGTGCCCCTACCATTCCAGTTGGCATGATAGACAAACCAAAGACAGGAGATAAGATAGATGCATTTGGGCTGCCCTACTTTCTCTAGGAGGCATAAGAGACAATCCAAGCCCAGTATACAAGATACAGAGACTTGGGCTGCCTCTTCCCTTTCAAGTAGCATAAGAGACAAGTTAAGCCCAAAAGACAATACAGAGGGACTTAGGATGCCCCCTCTTCTGGTGGCATGAGAGACAATCCAAGCCCAGGTTAAAAAATAGAGAAACATGGCCTGCTTCACTGCTTCCATGTGGAATGAGAGACAAGCCAAGCCAGACCCAAAAAATAGTCTTGGGCTGCTATTTTCACTACAAGTTGCATAAGATACAAGCTGAGACTGGTAGACAAGATAAATGAACTTGGGCTGTTCCCCCTCCAGGTGGCATGAAAGAGACAAGCCAATCCAAGGAGACAAGATAGACTTGGAGTTCTCCTCTTCTTCCAGGCGGCATGAGTGTCAGCCAAGGCCAGAAGAAAAGAGAGATGAACTTGGACTACTACTATCATCCAAGTGGCATGAGAGAAAATCCAACACTAGGAGGCAAAATAGATAGACTTGAGCTCCCTTTTCTCCAGGGGGAATGAGAGAAAAACCAAGGCTAGAGACAAGATAGATATAGTTGGCCTGTCCTTCCCATCCTGGTGGCAGCAGAGACAAGACAAGCCTAATAGACAAAATATATATGGACCTACAGGTGGCATAAAAGATAAGGCCAGGGTAGGAGACAAGATAGATGTACTTTGGCTTCCCAATCCCCTCTAGATGGTACGAGAAATAAGCAATGTCCAGGAGAAGAGATAGATGGACTTGGCCTCTCTCTTACCCTCCAGGAATTATGAGAGACAAGACAAGCCAGGAGACTAGATGGATATAATTGGGCTACTTCCCATAACCAGACAGAATGAGGGACAATTTAAGACTGGGAGCAAGATTGATGGACTTGGTCTGTTTCTTCCTCTCTAGGTGGCATGACGAAAACGTAAGAGTGGGTAATAAGACAGATGAACTTCAGCTGCCTTGTTCGAGGTGACATGAGATACAAGCCAGACTAAGAGACAAGATAGATGGACTTAGGCTGCCCCACCTCCAGGAGGTATGAATGATAAGGAAAGGCCAGGATACAAGATAGAGGCACTTTGGCAGCCCCCTTTCAAAGTGGCAAGAGAAAAAACCAAGGCATAGAGACAAGAAAGATGTAATTGGGCTGCCCCATTTTTCCATATGGCATGAGAGACAACCTATGAACAGGAGACAAATCAGGTGGACTTTGGCTACTCCCACTTTAGGTGGCATAAGAGACAAGGCCAGGAGACAAGATAGATGAACTTGGGCTAGTCCTCCTCTTCCAGGTGGCTTAAGAGATACACCAAGCTCTGGATACAGGATAGAGGCGCCTTGGGCTTCCTCTCTCCATTCAGGTACTTAAGTGACAAGCTAAAGCCAGAAAATAAAATAGATGAACTTTCGCTGCCCCTCCCACTCAAGTGGCATGAGAGACAAGCCAAGGTCAGAATACAAGAAAGATGGACTTGGGCTGCCTGTCCTTCAGGTTTTCTGACTTTGGCTTTCCCCTCTATATAGAAGTGACATGAGATAAAAAGCCCAGAACACAGGATAGCGGAAAGAGGGTTCCCCATCTACTCTATGTAGTATGAGAGAAAGCCTAAGGCCAGGAGACATGATAGGACTTGAACTGCCCCACCACCAGGTGGCATAAGAGACAACAAACAACATGAAGGCAAAATAGATGAACCTGGGCTGCTTTTCTTCCTGATAGAATGAGAAGAGATGAGCCACATCCAGGAGACAAGACAGACTTCAGCTGCCTTGTTTCAATGTAGCATGAAAACTTAAGGGCAAAGGACAAGTTAGATGCTTTTTGTCTGTCCTCCTTCAGGTTGCATGAGAGACAAGCCAATCCCAGGAGACAATATAAATGGTCTTGGGCAGCCTTTTTTATTTCAGGTGACAAGAGAGGAAACTCAAGACTCAGAGTAAAAAAACATGGAGTTGGACTGATCCTCACTTTATGTGGCATGAGAGATAAACCAAAACAAGGAAGAAAAATGGATAAACTTGAGCTTCCCTTCTTCCAAGTGGCACGAGGAAAGGCAAGATTGGGAGACAAGATAAATGGACTTGGACTGCTTCACTTCCTTCCGGGGGCATGAGATACAAGCTAAAGCAAGAAGATAAGACAGAAGAACTAGTATTACTGTTCCCCCTCCCCCAGGTGCTATGAGAGACAAACTAAGTCCAGGAGATAAAATACAAGGAATTGGGCTGTTGCTCCCACTCCAGTAACATTAGAAACAAGCAAAGCCAAGAGACAAGAAGATGGATTTAAGCTGCCTCCACTTTGGGTTTCATGAAAAACAAGCCGAGTCCATGAACCAAGACAGATGATCTTGGCTGCCCCACTTCAGGTGGCATGAGAGACATGCCAATCCCCGGGGAAAAAAATAGATGGTACTTGGGCAGCCCCTCTAATTTCAGGGGACATGAGAAAAAAATCAGCCAGGAAATGGTCTTCACCTGCTCTTCCCTCTAGGTGACATGAGACAAACCAAGATCAGAAGATATAATAAATGGACTTGTCCCCTCTGAAGGTGGCAGAAGAGAAAAGACAAAGCCAATAGTCAAGATAGATGCACACAGGCTGCCCCTCCGATCATGGTGTCATGAGAGACAAGACAAGAATAGAAGATAAGACAGTTGAACTTGGGTCGCTTCTGTCTTTCCACGTGGCATGACAAGCCAAAACTGAGATAAAAGGTAGATGCATTTTGGCTGCATCAAATGTGTTATTTCGCTTTAATAAAACTGCACTCTCCTGCCTGCTGTTTGTTGTGCCCTTGAATTACTTCTCTCAGCATTAAGACAAGAAACCCAGTAATAGAGCTCCGAGTCAAGTTCTTCTTAAGACTTCTGCCCTGTGGAGCTCTCCCGCATCATTTGATTTTCGTCTTCCTGCATGGAGATATAACATGCTGAAACATGCAATGCCTAGAGCCTGTAACCACATTGCACAGGCACCATGAAACCTCTGTTCCTACATGCCTAGACATAGTTCTATTCCAGCCGACATCCCTTTAAAATCTTGCCAGTCTCCCTAGGCAAACCACCTGTTTCTTCTTTTTCAGTATTGGTTTCCTTGTACACAAGCTCAACAAAACCTTGTCTACACTTGAGTCTGGTGCTGTCTCTTGATTTCCAGCCTGGGAGATTACAAGGACCCAGGGTTTTGGTAACAAAATTTAAAAAGGTCAAAGGTTAAAGATATGCTAGGTAGATACTAATCAAAGTTATGCTGGTGTAGCTATAGTAATACATAAATTTTACCAGCCAAGACAGTATTAAGACATTTATTCATGAATATAAAAGATACAGCTTGTCCAAATTACCAATACTTACTCTCAACATATGTACAGCAAAATCTGATAAAACCAAAAGGGGAAACCAATATGTCCTCCATCGTGGAGGAAGATCTCAACAGCAACATAGCAAGAAGGAAAAACAGGGGAAAAACAAGGAATAAAAAGCAGGAAGAAAAAAAAAAAAAAGGTTGGAAGCCTGAAAAGCTTCTGAATGACATTTATGAGGCTTTATCTATTTTGTAAATATAAACCACTGCACCCAACAGCTGGAAAATACACTGTCAAAGAGAGGCATTGTAACTTCATGATTAAGGGTATAAACTCTGGAGATTACCTAATTGTTACTTGAGCTGTGAGACTTAACTTCTTTATGCCTCAATTTCTTGAAAGGTAAAATGGGTGTAACAGTTTCTAGGCTCTAGGATTTTGTGACAAATTACTATAAATAAATAACATTTAACAGTATGAAGAAAAAAGTCTCAATAACAGTATAGTACCAGTTTCTTCAGGCAAAAGTTAGATAATAGGGATCTTTAATATGAAATTTACGAAAGGTCTTTAGTGTCTCTGTAAAGCTACTCAACTCATATGCAAAACTTTTTGACTAAATGCATTTCTTCTGTGCGGATAAAACCATGACTTTATTCTTAAATAAATTTATGACCCGTATGCCCCCAACAGCCTAAATGTTAATACTGTCTTTATGCTTTTTTTAAAAATAAAATCATACTGCAAAAAGTTTCCTTGACTCTCTGTCTATAATCTCACAAAATATCAGTTTTTAAATATTTTCTTACAGACTGGCTAGCTAATAGAGTCAATTGTGAGTGGATTCACACTCACTCACTCCATATATAAGGGCTAAGAAAAAAGGTCATTAAATACAATTACAAGTAACTTCACTCGGTAAATACTTATAATATCAGCATTATGTCTTCTATAAGTGCTTATTTTTTTCAAACTGTAGATTAAAATCAATATGCCACTACTGACAACTATTAATAAGTTGTATTTAAGAACAAAGACAAGAATACTTTCTACCTAATAGGAAAAATTTACCAGAAAAAAAATCTGTTATATTCATATCAATTAGATGGCTAAGATAAAACATAAAATAAGGCCCAAAAGGATTCTTGTTACATATCTAGAATTATACAGTAAAATCACATTTTCCAATAAGGAAAACTGTTGGGTTCCAGGAATAAACAGTGAAAAAGAAATACATAGAATTACAGTGAGAAGATAAGTAAAACCACTGAGACTCCTGTGTTCCAATCCATGAACAAAGTAAGGGGAGGGAAAGCTTTCTCCATGTCAATGAACTCTCATGTTCTAAAGGTTAATTTAATTTGAACCTACTGATTTTTTTCCCTAGATTTTAAACAGAAGGCAAAATAATATATATGGTAAAAAGGGAGGTGGTTTAGAAGGAGACTTTGTGTCATCAATGATTTCACTAGTTCAACAGCCCTTCAAGCCTGGAAATACTCAAAAGACATCATGGAAAAATAAGAAGAAAAACTTTTATTTCAAACAGGTTCAGTGGTATATGCACTACAGCAAGGGCTGGTTCTAACAGCAATTTCATTTCAAACTTGAATTGATGTACAAATGTAACATTTAGCAAAGATCAATTTCTGCTAAAATGTGGATTAAATCTATCAATAGGCCAATTTTGACATTTGGTGTAGATCCTAATATTTATTACAGTAGATTAAGTTTTCTTCACAAAAAATAAGAATAACCTTACAACTAATGAGCTGTGAAATGTATTTCCCAGTGTTTCTTTGAAATTAGTCCCTATGTTAAAAGAAATGTGACTTCATCCAAATGTATTTTTTAACTGATATTCTTCAGTCATCATCTACTGTTGGCTTGATGGTAACTCCTCTTCTTATCTGACCCCAACCAATTAAACTGCAAAATGAAAATTTTAAAAATCATGAATTTTAAATTCATCTAATTAGCATTACCACAAAATTTTGATATAACTGATTTTACTTCACTATCCTGTAAATTCAAACTTGTTCCCATAACAAGTTCCTCTATAAAGAAAAGTCCATATTATGTCCTTATATTCCTGAAGCCTTATCTCTTTATTTCTACAGCGTAAATGACAAGAAAAGCTAACAAAAAGTTGCTGCCATAAATACGTTCATCTTTCTATTTAAAAAAAAATTTGTACCCATTCAGAATCAACATATAAGAGTACTCTAGGTCCTCCTGAAGAACCATGCCAAAAGACAAATCACATCAACATAATAAATAAAAAAAAAAAAATCTCATCAATACTATTTCCTTGGATAAATATAGCACCTCAACAGATTACAATAGCTTTAAAGGGAAAAAAGTGAAGGGAAGTAAAAAACATATTACTCTCAATAGCAGAGGTAAAACATCTGCTCTAGTCAATGACCAGACTAGATTGCTACCTCATTTCAACTTTAGCTTCTAGAACAAACCCCACTTAAATGTGGGTTAAACTATAATTCTAAAGAACATAAGGGAAGCAGGAAAATTAGCAAAAATGGTGGATTTGAAGGTTTCCGGCCATTCTTTTCCAAGTAAATAACACACTGACAAACTTGTTTTGTTGATCTGCAGCAACCAAGAAAATACCTAACCAAGAAAAAGCCACACTCAAAATGGAAGGAAATTTGTAGTATTTTGTTTACCCAATGGTGGCATATCTGAGAAGAAGCCAACCAATTCTTGGTTCCTCCTGTGGGACAGAAGAAAAAAGTGAAACTCATTTTCAAAGTTCTGCCTTGTCTCGGGGTCTACTCAATGGACTGACTAGTTTCTATGTTGCCTGACTCAGAGTGCTGAGAGAGGTGTGACAGATTTGCATATCAGGTTGCAGACATTTGAGTCAGTAGTGTAGTACTATGGTAAGTGAAAGCTTCAAAAGGATTGGCGATCACAAGTGCATTGGGCAAGACACTATGAACAGAGTACAGTAAAAGAAGCTTGAATAAAAAAAAAAATGGTGAAACGGGGAAATTAAGACTTAATCTGAGTATACTGCATGGCTGGAAAAAACAACACATAGCTCCAATGAAGATACATATTGGTAGGAAAGGCCACAAAAGATCATAAGTCTTGATGCTGTGGAGGTCTTTTCCTACCTAGTCAGTCTACAAAGACTGGAAGAGGTGGCTATTTTTTTAAAATGTCAATTTAAAATAAAATACACTAAGGATCACGAAGACATGGGGGAACATGAAACACGACCCACTCAAAATAACTAAATAGAAACCAACGTTAAAGAAGCACAGGCCTTGGACTCCCTTGAGAAAGAGTTTGCAACAACTATCTTAATATGGTCAGAGGCAAATGAGAACACCTGAACGAAATAAGAAAAATAATATATGAACAAAATGAGAATTAAACATAGATTTTATTTTAAAAAAAAGAAAAAGAAAAAAAAACAATAAAATTCTCAAGTCAAAAAATACATAGACAATTGAAAAACTTACTAGGTAGATAACAGTGGTCTGACACAGAATCAGCAAACAGCTAAGGGTCTCAGAAGCAAAAGAAAAGAGAATGAAGAAAAGGGAAAACCAACTGAGAGATTATAGACACCATCAAAAGAGGGTACAGAGATTATCTGAAGAAATAATGACTGAAATTTTCCAAAAATTTAGAAAAGTAATGAATAATTTCAAGAAGCTGAAAAAATTCCAACTAGGATAAACCCAAAGAAAACTCTATCAATACATATCTAACTGTGTAAAGTCAAAGACAAAGACTCTGAAAACAGCCAGAAAGAAAATCAGTACATATAAAGAAGCTTCCACGAGATTTTCAGTGGATTTCTCAGTAGAACCTTGCAGGCCAAAAAACAGTGGGATAATGCAGCCTAAGTGCTAAAAGAATAAAAAAGTCTGGCAAAATTGAAAAACTATTTTCAAAAGTGAAGGAGAAATCAGAACTTTCACAGATAAAAGCTAAGAAAATTCATTATCATGAGAAAAGCTAACGGAAATTTTCAAGATGAAATGAAATGATAGACAGCCAACACAAAACCCTATAAAATATAATGCTCACTTGGTAAAGGGAAATACATGGCCCATTATCGTAGCCTGTATTAATTTGGTGCACAGAATCGAAATAAAAATATAAAAAGGGATGATAAATCTATGTAAATAGGTATTGATACGTAAAGATGTATTTTCTTTGTGACATCAACAATAAGTGCATGGATAGATCTTAAAATAAGAAGGTAATCAAAATTTGCCATTACAAAAAAATCAACTAAACATAGAAAAATAATAAGCAAGGAAATGAGAGATAAAAAAAGCTGTATACAGAAAACAGGTAATAAAATGGCAAGAATAAGTTTACCCATATACATAACTACTCCAAATGCAGATAGATAAAAGGATACAGATTGGCTAACTAGGTTAAGAAACACCTTACATCTAAGAACATGCATAGATTAAAAGGAAAGAAATGGAAAAAGATATTTCATAAAAAGAGTAACCAAAAGAAAGCAGGAGTGATTATGCTACTTTCAGACAAAATAAACTTTTCTGGGAAAACGTGTAAGAGACAATGAAGTACATTTCATCAGAACACTTATTAATATCTATGCTCCCAATCAGGGAGCCCTGAAATATGTAAAGCAATTGATAACAGAACTAAAGGGAAAAACAGACCAAAACACTTTCGTAGTAGGGGACCTAAAAATACCCCACTGTCAGAAATGGACAGATCATCCAAAATGAAAATCAATAAAAAAAATAACATCCTTAAATAACACATTAGACCAACTGGACATAATTGACATTTATGGAGCCTTCCATCCCAAAACAGCTGCTTATACATCCTTCCCTGGTGCACATGGAACATTCCCCAGAATAAACCACATACTGGGACACAAGAGATAGCTTCAACAAATGTAAGAGGGTTGAAATCATACCAACCATATTCTTTGATCATAATGCTTTGAAGCTAGAGATCAGCTGTAAAAAGAAAGCAGGAAGAACCACAAATACATGGAGATTTAACATGCTACTGAAGAATAACTGGGCCAGAAAAAAAATAAAAAGAGAGATTGTGAGATATATAGAAACAAATGATAATGATAGTATAAAATATCAAAACTTTTGGGACACAGCAAAAGCAGTCATAAGAGGAAAGTTAATGTCATTACAGGCCTACCTCCAAAAACAAGAATGAGCCCAAATAAACAACCTAGTGCTTCATCTTAAAAAACTGAGAAAGAAAGAACAAATGAAGCCTAAAGTTGGCAGAAAGGAAAAAATAATCAAAAGTAAAGCAGAAATAAATAAAATTGATAACAACAAAAAAAGGACAAATAAATGTAACAAAGAGCTGATTCTTTGAGGTTAATAAAATTGACAAACCCCTGGCCAGACTCACTAAAGAAAAAGAGAAAGGACACAAGAAAACATCAAGCAAGTCTATCAATGACATTTTCCAAAAATATTTACTCACCTCATGTTTCTGTGTCAGCTTTTGGAAATTCTCCCAATATTTCAAACGTTTCATTATTATTTTTATGGTGATCCGTGATAGCTATTGTTACTATTTTAATTGTTTTGAGGCATCACCCACAGGGTAAACTTAATTGATAAATGTCTGTGCTCTACTAATCCAGTGTTCCCCAGTCTTTCTCTTTCTCCTTAGGCCTCCCTATTCCCTGAGAAACAGTCCTGAACTTAGGCCAGTTAATATCCCTACTCAGGCCTCCAAGTGTTTAAATTAAAAGAAGTGTCAATAGATGCAGCAAACGTCATTGTTGCCACCTCAAGCTTAAGTACTCAGCAGTCATTAATACTGAGGCAAGACCTTTTACTACCAGATAACATAATTCACTTAAGGCTCAGATGATAGCACTTGTTAGCAGCAAAGCATTTTTAAATTAGGATATGTACATATTTTAAAATATAATTCTGTTGCACACTTAACAGCTGCAATGCAGTCTAAATGTAAATTTTATATGCATTGAGAAATCAAAAAATTCATGTCACTTGCCTTATTTTGATATTTCCTTTATTGCAGTGGTCTGGAATTGAACCTACAAGCAATATGTCTGTAGTATACCTGTATGCAAAAATTATACAACCTACTCTTCAACGATCAATGGGCCACTGAAGAAAGTGTTAGAGAGGATATGGGTCTCAAGGTCTGGACAGTTCTTACTAAATGCTATCCTTGGTAAATGTTAAAATGTATCACAGTATTTTGCAGACACAGCTATAACCAGATGAGCTTAGGATGAGCCTGCAATGAGCCTGACACAACGGAGTAAGTTGAGGCCACTGCAAATAAGAATTCAACATGTAATTAACCAAATAGTGTATATAAAGCAATGGCTAAGCCTTCTATAAGGAGACAAACCTTTGGAATGTGAATCCCTGTCTCCCTTACTTGCTGAAAATAAATAAAACCACCTAATGATAACCAGGCCTTGTTCTTGAAAACAGCACCCCAAGTGGCAAAATCCTTAAGTTCCACAACAACAGCATAAGAGAAATGAGAAAATATCTTGAGAAATGAAAATATAAGCACAACATACTAAAATTTATGGGCAGCACCTAAGTAAACAGAATGTGTGAAATTCCCAATTATAATAAATTATAAACAGAATTACATTACAATCCAGCAATATCTATTCTGAGTACATACCTTAAAAGAATTGAGACAGCACATGATTAATATAGATATTTGTAAAATCGTGTTCATAGCATCAAGCACAATGCCCAAAAAGTGAAAGCAGTTAAGTGTTAAGAAAAAAATGAAACATGTCTGTAAAAAATAATGTTTTACAAACATGTGATGGAATATTATTCAGCCTTAAAAATAAAAAGAATTCTGACATATGCTACAACATAATGAAACTTGCAGAAATTATGTTAATTGAAATAAACCAGCAAAAAAAAAATGGATAAATATTTTATGATGCTACTTTCATGAGGTACGCAGTCAAACTCAAAGAAACAGAAAGTAAAATGCAATATGCCAATACTGGGATACAGAAAAATTGGAGTTCTTGTTTAACGGGTTCAGGGATTCAATTTTGCAAGACAAAGAGTTTTGAGGATGTATTCTAATGAAGGTTACAAAACAACGTGACTGTAGTAAGTATCAATAAATGGTACACTTAAAAATGGTTAAGATGGTTAATTTTGTTAGGTGTATTTTAGCACAATTAAAAGGAATATGAGGCGACAGATATTTCAAATGTTCTATTAGTTCCTCTAAGCAATGTATTTTAAAATTTTCACATAAAGTCTAACATAATTCTCTTATAATATAATAAGCAGTAACAAAAAGATCCTTTGTTTTTAAAACCTATTTTAATTTTGGCAATGTGCCATTCATACTAACTAATGTACCCTAGTAAAGGACTTTGGAAGTTGTATGTTATTTGTTCTTACATACTGCAAAAATCATGTTAGGGGAAACAGTAAATTCAAATGAGTACAAGTCAGCAGAAAGCAGAATTAGTAATTTAAAAGGTAACAAACTTCACTTTTAAGATATTAGTAACAAGTTAATAAATTTTACAGATGATAAATGATGAGAGATCATCATGGGGCCTGGTATTCAGGAAAGATTGAATAATGAAGGCTGCTAGAGAACCACGGGTGACTGAAATAATGTCATTGAAAAAGGAAAACTTAAGCATGAGTCTTTAAACAACTTAATAAGTATAAAATAATACAATTTGGGGTTATAATGATGTCATCGGAATGGAAAAAATATTTTCAGTAACTAATCTGAGAAGAATCAAAGAGACAACCAGGAGTCAAGGATTTAGAAGAGTACACATTTCCTAGTTCCAACAACTGAAAAAGCTCAGAAGCACAGAACCAAAGAGTATGTTCATCAATATCTTGGTTTCCAAACATGGAAAAATAAATGGCTTAGGGAAGGTCCAGCATAAGATAAGCCCAGACACTATGTACCAGAAAGTATATAATGCTCAAAAACAGATGGAATCATTTTAAAAGAATGCAGAAATAAGCTGGAAGATAATCGTATTGGCCAATATGGATTACGTGTATCAAAATAAAAACAAATAGGAAGGAATCATAATCTACTGAGTGAACACCTTTGAATATGTACTTATTAAGAAATAAGTATATAAATAAGAAAGAGGGAAAGTCAAATTACAAATGTAAGCAAGTGACAGAAAGAAATACTATTTTGCTATCCCTCGTCAAGAATAATCAAATGTAAAAGAGAAGGGCAATTTGATGAGGAACATGTTATTTGCAGAGTCTCAAAAATTCTCTGTATAAAATGCTTTTTTGTTGGAAGTGTAAAAAGAAACTTTAGAACACGGACATCAGACAGCTTGACTGAGTGAACAAAATTAGCCTCACCCAGCATTATATGCCAGTGAATGTGATTTCTGATAACACACCACCATCTACCTAAATAGCATTCTAGACTAGAATACATAACCTCAATTTAATTAGAGAAAATATCACACAAACTCAAATTGAGTACCATTCCACAAATAAACTGGCTTGTATTGTTAAATGTCAATTCAGATTAAGACCAAAAAAAGAATAAAGAAGTTCCATATTAAAAGAGATCACAAAAACATAAAAAGGAAATAAAATGTGTGATCCAGGTTTGAGTAAGGAACACATAATAAAGAACAATCTGAGATGAAGCAACACAACTGGAATAGAGTGCCGGTTTTACGAACTTGTCAATGTTAAAATTCCTAAACTAGCTGTGTCAGAGAATATCCTTATTCTTAGGAAATAAACACTGAATATTTATAAAGATCCAATTTGTGCAACCTACTCAGTGGTTTAAAAAACCACTTAATTATATGTTTACAAATGTGCATATGTATGAATATCACTACTGGACACATTTAAGAGAGAAACAGGAAAGAGGGAAAACTAAATGGTAAGTGTAGAGAAGACACAGAGTTAGAAAGAAGAAATAATATTTGCTATCCTTAAAATCAAGATCAACTCAAGCAAAAATATTCATGTGTAAAAGAGCAAGGTGATTTCCTATCAAAGACAACTAAAACTTCAGATTTATTATGAGTTAATATTTTTATAGACTATTTTGGAGATTAAAGAAAAGCCAGCTTCAGTACCTGGAGTAAAAAAGTGAACTGTAGCTTAATCAAGGTTGAAAATACAGGTTTCAGTTGTCCAAATATACAGCTGAAAGTTACAGCCATAAAAACTAGTAAATTCCAGGAAAAAATTGTATTTGTGTGTTTGTCCATGTACATAAACACCATTAAGAATTAATATACTACTAGAATATACCCTGTTTTTCTTCATTAGATAGTAACAAAACTGACAAACTTACCGCCAGTGTTTCTCAACTCTTCGGCTAAGGGCAATTTTTTCTCCTATTTCCGTGCACACAGGATTAGTGAGAACTATTTTGCCCAAATCGGCCTTGACTGCACTAACTCTACCTCCTGTCGACAGGGATCCTATGTTCACCATAAGCACTTCATTCTTAGATAGCTTTTGCACCTAGGAAAATAAATTAAGAAAAAACAAACCCCCAAACTGACAACATGCTTTCCAAAACAAAATGAGAGAAACATAAAATGAGAATTTAACAAATATTGCCAGAAATAAGGACACTAAGAGAGACAAAATAAATTCTGCACAAATTACGTTATAATGGGATTTGAATTACATATATATATATACTGGTGTCAAAAGAAAAGGTTTATTTAGCACTCAATAAGGTTGCGCTTTAAATTAAATACAGCATAAATCAGTCAAATTCTTAAAATTCTGAAGAGGCTTATGCTAGAAAAACTACAAAATTTCTTGAATAAATACAGCCAGACACAAAAAATACAATAGTTAAGTGGATTCTATTCATATAACAGAAACTAAATAAAACTTTCTGATCTCTATAAAACTGGGTAACACTTTCTACAAACTAATTATTAGATGCCATACTGCTTATTGCTGTTGCTTACACTAACAGCCTAACACTCAAGTGCAAATCAATATTTTTAAGGGCTTTACGTTCCACTAAAAGTCGAAATAAAAAAATATAAATCTTTCGTAAAGGAGTTCCCCCAAAAATAACAAATACAAGGTTTATAAGCACATATCTCACATTCAAAACAATTTCTATTGCTTTTTCATGACTATAATTTTTTCTTAATAAGAAAAGGACTTTGTGACCTTGTACTTACAAAATTTAGATATTATAATAGGGAGGATAATAATCTAAGATTGAATACACAAAAATAAACTCTTTAATATCACCTCAATCATTAGTAAAACCTAAATAAAAACTGGAGAATAGAATTTCATGGTGGTAAAAGGTAAAGAGATTTTTTGTAACTATAAAAGGCCCAGTTTTAAAAAGTTAATATAGGATTCTACAATGCTTTTTGCCACTTATTTCTCTCCAGAACCTATCTATAACTTCAGATCTTTTAATTCAAAATTTATTCTGTATTTAATTCTTTTTTAAATGGCATATTTTTAACAGCTATTGAAGTGAAATGCTGGGACAGAGTTTATACATTTAAAATTTTGGTTAACTAACACCAAACTAATATATAAAAATGTTATAAATTTATACTTTCTCAAAATTATGAGTGCTGTTCCCTGAATCTCTGTCAATCAAATCTTAAGTCTCCTTTTAAAGTTACTTGTATACTAGAAATAGTAAGTCTGTACAATAGATGATGTAAACTTTTAAAAAAAATTTTCACAGAAATAGAGAAATCTTCAAATTTGTATAGAACCACAAAAAACCTCAAATAGCCAAAGCAACCCTAAGAAAACAGAATAAAGCTGCAGGTATCAAACTGCCTGACTTCAAATTGTACTACAAAGCAACATTAATCCAAACAGCATGGTGTTGGCAGAAAATCAGATAAATAGGCCAGTGGATCAAAACTGAGAGCACAGAAATAAATCCCCGTATATACAGGCAAATAAACATACAATGGAAAAGAATACCTCTTTAATAAATGGTGCAAAGAAATCTGGAAAGCAACATACAAAAGAATGAAACTAGACTGCTATCTATCACCATACACCAAATTAACTCCAAATGGATAAAAGACTTGAAACAATAAATTGTACAGAAATAACTCAAGGTACTAAACTCAAAGACCTTGTTTTTAGAGAGGACTTTATGAATTTGACCTCAAAGGCAATGAAAGTAAAAGGAAAAATAACTAAATAGAACTAACTCAAAGTAAAAAGCTTCTGCATAGCAAAAGAAACCATCAACAAAACAAAGCAGCGACCAACTGAATAAAAGATAGTTGCAAATGATGTCTCTGATTAAGGGCTAATAACCAAAATATACAAAGAAATCATACAATTCAACAACAAAAAACAAACAATCCAACAAAAAAGAATGGGCAGAGGACCTGAACAGAACAGACACCTTTCCACATACCAGTGGCCAATGGACATATAAAAAAATGCTCTCCTTCACTAAGCTATTAGGGAAATGCAAATCAAAACCAAAATGAGATACCATCTCACATCTTTTAGAATATCTGTCATCAACAGGACAAGTAACAAAAAGTGGGGAAAAAGGAACCCTCATATACTGCTAATGGGAAATTGGTACAACCACTGTGGAAAACAACATGGAGGCTCAAAATATTAAGGCTAGCATTAACATATGACCTAGCAATTCCTCTTCGGGGTATCTACTCAAAAAACTTGAAAATATTTAATCACAAAGATATATGCACCTTGATGTTCACAGCAGCATTATTCATGGTGGCCTAGACATAGAAACATCCCAAGTGCTCTTCCCATAGATAGATGATTAGATAAAGAAAATATCTAAATATTACTAAGACGTAAAAAAGACAGAATATTGATATTTGTGAAAAGGTAAATGGATCTTCAGAGTTTCATGCCAAATAAAGTAAGTCAGACGGAAAAAAATATGATTTTTCTCACATGTAGGATATTAAACAAAGGGCAACAAATGAACAAAGAAAAACTCATAGACACAAACAACAGAATAGTGGTTATCAGGCAACTGCAATACAAGGGATGACGAAGCAGGCAAAGGGGGTCAGATAAACAGTGGTGGAAGGAGATTAGGCTTTGGGCTAACACATAATACAGATATTGTATAATAAAAGTGTACACCTGAAGTTTATGTAATGTTATTACCCAAAGTCATACCAATAAATTTAATTTAAAAAATTCTGACTTTGTTTATGGCTGGTTGCCATATAGAAAATTTCTAATTATTAATTTTTTTGTAATTCCTTTTTAATTTTAAAAGAATGAAACCGTTTAAAACATCAAACTTTATCTGTATTTTCTAATCATAAAAAGCATTTACCTTTGCTGCTTTTTTGTCTCCTTCCATGCGTACACCAAGAAGACGTCTAAGTAGGAAATAGGAGATTTCCAACTCTGTGAAGATTTCTGGTAATGCTCCAACTGCCCCAAGCACCTGTCCCACCATTCTGTCAGCTCGGCACAAAGTAGGGTCAATTTTTGTTCCAACTCCTGATATAAAATAAAAAATGTATTCTAACTACTTACTGAAATTTTACAAAGGTAAAGTCAGTCAAACCAGTACAACATGTAGCTATAGATTTTAATCCAGTTGTATCATGATTATACCCTATTAACAGCTACATAATCAAAATTGCATAAGATATCCGTACAAAATCCTGCTTTTAAAAAATGAGAACACTGGAAACAAGTTTAAATTTTAAAACTAAAAAGATATTCTTGAATAGAATGTAAAAGCAAATAAAATACCTACCCTATTCAAAATGAATTTCATATAAGATACTCCATCTTAATAAAGATAGAAAGTCACAAAGTTCATAATAATTAATTTGCAGAAATAAAATTGGCAATTGTTAATGCTCATGGCAGGAATACATGGTTGTTATTACATTGTTCTACTTACATATTTGTGCACTGGTCCAATAAAGTTATATGAAAATATTCCCTGAATTTAGCTGTTCATTAAAATAAAAATATCCACAATCATACACTGGTAACTTTAATAATAAAGACAGACTGGAGAAAATAAATACATAGCAAAAAGATGTCAGTGAAATCGTGGAGTAAAAGCTTCCCCAAACTGTTCTCCATAAAAAAAAAGGACACAAAAAATTTCAGAAAAACTTTCAAACCTCTGAAATTTACCCAAAAGTTTGCCGCAATCTGTGGAGCATTTATTAATAAAATAAACAAACAAACAAAAAAACTGTCTGGCCTTCTGGAGGAGTAGGTAAGCTCTGTGATCGCCTTCTCCCCTGACGTCAAAATTACAATTAAATTATAGGACAACCATTACTGAGAACCAGCTGAAGTCTAGCTAAGCAGAAGTCCTATGACCAAGGATACACAGAAGCCAAAGTGAGACTGGTAGGAGTAGAGATGCAAGATGGGCTGGTCTCACACCCATGTGTGGTAGTTGAGAATCTGGAGAGATGTCTTGGCTGCAGACGTTTCTCAAAAGGCTCCCCATCAGGCTCCCCATCCCAGGGTTCCAGTGCCCAGAAGAGATGTCCCCACAATTTCCAACACAGGTATTCTTCACATTGTGCACTGGAGTCTAACCCAAGAACCAACAAAGCTGGTGATCGGCTTCAGACCACAACGAAAGCTCCCAATTAGCTCCATAAATAGTACACCCAAAGGGTTGTTTTGGCAAGCAACAAATTCCACTGGGGCAAATCCAGCTTTACAGGGTCAGCCCACACTGTGGTTGTGGACAGCGATCATGTTGAGGGTCAACCTCACCCACTATTAAGCCAACAGCAATTAAAGCTCAATTCACAAGAGACACACAATCCATACAGGGACACCTCTGGAGCACCCCACTCATGAGACAAGGGAGAGTGTGCCACTGAGCCCTATGAGACACCTACCAAATAAGGCCACTTTACCAGACCATGAGATAGAACAGCCCTACCTAACACATAGAAAGAAACAAGGATGGCAGCCAATGTGGGGAGGCAAAGACACTTGTCCCAAATGAAGGAACAGACCAAAACTCAAAGAAAAAAATATTAAAAAGAACTAAATGAAATGGAGGCAAGCATACAGAATTCAAAATAAGGTTGTAAGGACTCAGAGAACTTAGAGGAAGAAAAGACAAACTAAGTTAAAACTTTAACAGAGAAATAGTAAGCACAAAAAGATACACAGAAACCATAATAAGGACCAGTCAGACATGAAGAATACAATAACTGAAAAGAGAATACACTAGAAGCAATCAACAGTAGATTAGATAAAGCAGATCAAGCTAACAATTTGGAAGATAAGGCAACAGAAAATCATCAGAACAGCAAAAGGAAAAAAGACTTTTTTAATAAAGATAGTCTAAGGAAATTCTGAAACCACATTACGCATAACAACATTCTCATCATAGGGGTACCAGAGAAGAGAGAAAGCAATAAATTTAAAATTTATTTGAAGAAATAATTACTGAAAATTTTCTTAACCTGAGAAAGAAATAGACATAGAAGTCCAGAAAGTGCTGAGCAGGAAATAGACATAGAAGTCCAGAAAGTGCAGAGAGGATGAACCAAAGAGGCTCACACCAAGACACATCATAATTACAATGCCAAAAGCTGAAAACAAATAAAAAATCTTAAAAGCAGAAAGAAAAAGTCAGTTACCTACACGAGATCTCCCATAAGACTGTCAACTGATTTCTCAATAGACACTGCAGGCCAAAAGAAATTAGCAGGACATATACAAAGTGATAATAAGCAAAGATCTACAACTAAGATTACTCAACTCCAACTAAGATTACCCAACTCAACAAAGTTATCATTTAGAATCAAAGAGATAAAGAGCTTCCTTGACAAGAAAAAGCTAAAGGAGTTCATAGTCTACAGCCATATTACCCTGAATGTGCCTGATCTCTAAAGAGTTCATCACCACCAAGCAAGTAAATGTTAGAGAAACTTCTCTAAGAAGGAAAAAAGTACATAAATATGAGCAAAATGTCCATATGTGTATCTGATGACTTCAAGAAAAGAAAGGTACCAAGAGACGATGACAGGTACTCATAATGATAAAGGACATTGATACATCAAGAAGACATAACACTTACCAATATATATGCTCCTAACCAGGGAACACCAACATATATTAAGCAAATACTAACAGAACTAAAGGAATAAAATGACACAAACAATTACAGTAGGGACCTAATTACACCACTGTCAGCTATAAATAGATCATCCAAATAGAAAAGCAATAAGGAAATATCAACCTTAAATTACATATTAGACTAATTAAACATAATGAACATTTGCAGAGCTTTCAATCCCAATATACAAATTCTTTTCTAATGCACATGGAACAGAAGGTAATAATAAAAATTAGAGAATAAATGAAAGTGAGAATAGACAAAATTAATGCAACAGAGAGCTGGTTAATGAAAAGATTTATAAAACTGACAACCCCTGGCTATATTCACTAAGGGAAAAAAAGACACATACAAAATCAGAAATGAAAGAGAAGTTGCAACAGATACCACCGAAATACAAAGGATCATACAAGAATACTGCAAAAGATTATATGACACCAAATTCGATAACCTAGAAGAAATGGACAAGTTCTTAGAAGTGTACAACCTTTGTAAATTAAATCACCATGGAAATCTAGAAAATCTAAATAGACCTATCAACAGTAAGGAAATTGAAACAATCATCAAAAACTTCCCTAAAAGTAGAAGGCCATCACCAGACGGCTTCACCAGTGAATTCTAACAAACATTCAAAGATTTAATACCTGTTCTTCTCAAACTCTTGCAAAAAAATTGCAGAGGCAATACTTCCTAACTCATTTTATGAGGCCAACATCACCATAATACCAAAATCTGGTAAAGATAACACATAAAAAAAGAAAATATAAACCAATATCTCTGTTGAATATAGATGCAGATAATCTAAACAAAATAGCAAATTAAATGATACATTAAAAAGATTATATATCACAATCAAGTGGCTTCATCCCAGGGTCACAAACACAATTCAACTAATGTGATACACTATACAAATAAAAGATAAACAATCATATGATCACGAGATACAGAAAATGCATTTAACAAGATGGAGCCTCCACTTTATAAAATAAAGTGGGTAAAGAAGGGAAGTCCCTGAACGTAACAAAGACTATATATGACAAACCCTCACAGTAACATCATACTTAATGGTGAAAAAGTAAAACCTTCCCTCTAAGATCAGAAATAAGATAAGGATCCCAGGAACCTATTAGTTGACACAATAATAAATACACATTTGGGCACAAATTAACTAATAGATGATGTTCAGTCTGTATTAAAGTTTACGGGAGTCAAATATATGATGACAAAGCGAGATCTGACTTTGGGTCGTGAAAACACAATGTAATATACATATGATGTAAAATATATTTTTAAACTTGAAACCAATTTAATTTTTTTTAACTAATGTCACCCCAATAAATTTATTAAAAAATAAAAATAAAAACCCTAATTCTGATTTTTAAAAAGCAACCAAAAACAGTATGAGTATAGCAATATACAATAAATGCTAAATCACAAAATTATTGTTGAACTTAATTCTATAAATGAAATCTAAATATACTATCTACAAAACTATTTTTTAAAAAGACACATGAAGCCATCTTGTAAAGCCAACAACTTAACCATATAGACTTGCCCATCATACTCCTACATCTAGAGACATGCACTTTGAGATAATTAATTTCACACAAAAAGTAAGATTCTTTCTTACCAATGAGACCCCCTGGAGCAGCGTACTGAAGATCATTGTGTTCTGCAAATAGTGACACAATTTTGGAAAATATTGGTTTACACATAAGTTTTCCCTCACTATCTTTGGAAACAATACCAGGTCTGACTTCTATCTCCTGGCCCACCTGAAACATAAGTGAATAATTAAAATGTGTGGGACAACACAATTACCATTAACATGGGAAAAGTCCTAAATGGTAGACCGCTAAACTGAGAAGATACTCCTATTGGAATAGTAATTCTAAGCATAACTTTAAAAAGAATAAAAATTTTAAAATGTACAAGAGTAACTAACAATTATTAAGCAATCACTTATTAAGAAACCTACAATTTAGACAAGACATATTTAAAATACAAAATAGTAAAGAAAGTATAAATATTTAAAATTTTATTTTTAATTTTATGTTACTGGATAAGAAGAGTTTAAAATTCACTTTACCTTTAATACTCCTTTTAAAATACTACCACCAGCAACACCACCTTTAAGGTCATCAACTTCACAGCCAGGTTTGTTGACATCAAAAGACCTAATGACTGAAAAGGGGATAGGGAAGAAAGGAAAGAAACCTGTTATTTAGAAGAAATATTTATTTATGAGAATATTTACAAAAAGAAATATTTGTTAGATTTTCTACAGTGTAGCCACTTGAAATCTAGAACAAAGCTGACTCTGGAAAAATGAAAATAAAGACAATTACGTGATATGTTTATGCTTTATCTATGATATATAGTACAATGTACTACAAAAGAACACACACTACATATACATACACTCATATAAATATGTACATATACGTATACACAAACATACATATGTAAAAAGTTCTATAAAGGAATGACAGTTCTGGGCCGTAATATCCCTCCCACACCCCCATTCATGCTGAAGTCCTAACACCTAACTCAGATATGACTATTTGAAAATAAGCCTTTAACAGGTAAACAAAACAAAATGATGACACTGAGTTCTAATCCAATATGACCAGTTCCTTTAAGAGGAAATGTGGACACACCCAGTATATACCAGGGATGCACAAACATAAGAAAGACCACATAAGAGCAAAGCATCACGTGGCCATCTGGAAGCCAATGAAAGACCTCAAGAGAAACCAAATCTGCCAACCTATTGATCTCAGACTTCCTCTTCCATAATTGTAAGGAAATAAATTTCTGCTGTTCAAACCACCCATTATGTAGTATTTTTGTTATAGCAAACTAAAACAATGACCCTTACATTTTATTAAGAAAAAGAAGTAGCTACAAAATTATTCTCCAGAGTATAACCTCTCTCATTTAAAAAAACTATATACATACATAAATGTTTAATAAGAGAGAGCTATGGAAATATAAATGCTTGCATCAGTGTTGCAGTACAGAATTTTTCTTTATATACCTATACATTAGGTGACTTCTACAACAAAAATTCAGTTGTAAAAACACAAAGTAATTCTTAGATTACATAACCTTGAGAATAGTGATACCTAACTAAGGATGTATCTCACATTCACACAACAAAACATTTTCCATCAAAAAATCAGGAGCCTGGACAAAGCCTGAAATGTGTATTTTGGAAAGGCTCCTATAAACTTGTGTGCAAGAACCAAAAATTTAATCAAATTAAATCAATAATGGTACCATAAAAAATTAAGGTAAAAGATGAAAATCTTCATTAATGAATGCTAAAATCATTTGTACAAAAGTTCTAATATCCTGTTTCTGAAACTCTCTCTTCCTAAAGAACATACTATTACTCCAATCTTGATCACATAATATACCATATACATAGCAAAAAAAAGTTAATGTTCCTGTTTTATTCAGGATTATGTCCTCATCTAAATTAGCACTGCCAATACAACCTGAGACAAAATATTTTAACGTATTCACTTTCATTTCACTTTGAATTCAAGATGATATGTTGCCTTTGGTTTTCATAAACTCATTCCTATTTTAATTAAAAAAGCATATGAATATTGTAATTTATTAACACCTCTGAACAAAGAGTAAATAATGATAGACATCCTTAAAAACAAAATCGACAATGCCAAAAGTGGTCAACAATTAAAGGTTAACAGATTAAGACCTTACCAATAAGACGGGGTTCTGAAGCAAAGTCTCTTAGAGGTACGGGAATTTTCTTAACAATATACTCACAGACAACTTCAATATTATATTTCAGCTGAGCAGAAATTGGAATAATAGGAGCTCCTTCTGCGACTGTACCTATATGACAAAATTCAGAAAGATCAAAATTCCACAAACCGTTGTATACATGTTACATAAAACTTAAAATTACTAAAATAGCTATCTTAATATCCCCACACAGTGTCAGCAATACATAAAAAGTTGATCGATCATTCTGTTTAGAAAGATCACAATATTTTGTTTTTCCTTCTAATAATGAACACTATTCTTGTTAAGGGAAAAATTATAAAGTTAGATTAGTATCTATAATAGAGAATAAAAGTGTTTCAAGAAATAAATACTAGCACTACTGGGAAAGAAACTTTGATAACTGAAAAAATTTCCAGAAACATGTAATTTAATCTCCAGTTAAGTATCCACAGAAAATTACAGACCCCTTACTTATCCAAGATTGCTGGCACACACAAAATTGATCTTTATCAATTAAATGTCAAACAAGCTGTGAATGGAATGAACCAAAGCGAGTAAGATTTTATAGGCTACTTTTTCCTTTCAATACATTATAGGGCCAACAGAGCCAAACTTTCTAACAAGTAAAAATGAAATCAAATGTCAAAAATAAAATCCGCAATGTTTTATCCCAAATTAAAACAGAACATTTTAGATAAAGAAATCATTGTCAGTCTCATTTCTGGAAATAGATACTCATTGAAAAGAAAATATCAGAATAATTAGAAAACCAACCAACAAATAAAGATGCTTTCTTTCATTTCATCATCACAGCGAAAGTTTTAAAAACATCTAATTGGTGCTTGCTTTGGCAGCACATATATTAAAATTAAAGAATAAAAGATTAACATGCCCCTATGCAAGGATGATATACAAATTTTTGAAGTTTTCTGTATATTTTTATTGTTATGAAAGTTGTTACACTTTTAAAAAAAAAAAATGTTTTCATTGGGGGGGGAGGGGATCCCAATTGGTAACATTTATAGAACACAACTTTTCTAGCAAACATGTACTTTCACAGTGAGTAGTCATGTAGCCAAAACCTGTCACCAGGGAAGCAATCCTGAGCCATACTTTCCCACCAATGAAAAAAAAATTGGTTGGAACAGTAACTGCAACAGCAATGTCACTGGATTTAGGAAAAGTCCCCCAAACCATGCATGCTCACCAGTTAGACCTGGCCTCATTACCATACTAAATGACACAGCTACCAGCACCATGAGAGAGCTGGTGCAGCTCTTACTATAAACAAAAAGAGGTTGGCAACCCAATTCTCGAAAATCCTCTCCCCATTCCAGGAAAACTTATAATTAAAGGTACCCAAGCCTAATTCCAAGGGCCCATAAAACACGGTGCCTAAAATCCTTGAGGAGTCACGCTCCTCTGGAGTGTGCTCCCTTAGTACATCAAGTTTCACTTTAATAATGTTTCTGTCTGTAAAATTCTTCACCCACTCAATTTCTATTCTGAGAGGGGCAAGGACCCCTGAGTTGCTAACACTTTCAGCACATCAAATTGAGAGATTTCACTGCTTCTCTATCAGATAGATAAAAGCAACAAACATGTTGAAAATAGAGAAATAGGGTTACACCCCATAAATTCACCACGCTGATATCTGGACTACAAGCCTCTCAAAGTGATTCACATGTTTATTAACTACTACAGGTATTTACCTTGTACAAATGCAAGAATCTGTTCATACTGCTCTTTGGCCTGACTCTCTTTTACCAAATCAATTTTATTTTGTAGAATCAAAATATGTTTCAGCTTCATAATTTCTATGGCAGCCAGGTGTTCAGAAGTCTGAGGTTGAGGACAAGATTCATTACCAGCTAAATTGATGATGAAAAATTAAAAAAGACAAATCAAACAAAATGATTAGTAACATTTGCTGGTCTCTAAGAGACTTTTAAATGTTCTACTCAAAGCAAATTCCTGGACACCACTGTCAAATGTCTTTGTATATCCCTGTTTCAAATCCAAAACTGATTTCTCTGCATTCTCCAAGGTCTTTTAACTCCTATTCCTAACTCTAAGCACAATGCCTGCAATCAAGAAATTTGGCTTCTTTCAGAGGCTACTGATAGCTTTTACTCAGGCATAACACATATCCTCCTGTTTCTATGCAGTCTTTGGGATAGTCTGGCCCAGTCTAGCTACAGTATAGTTCAGGGGGAAGTTGTTTAATGAAGTCTACCCAATAACCCAAGTCTAAGATTGTAGCTAACCACAAGGATGGCCCCCAGTATTCCCTACCTTCTGGTATTCATATCCTTGTAAAATCCTTCCTTTTAAGTATGGAATGAATCTACAAACTTAGTTCTAAAGAAGAGAATATTACAAAAGCAGTAACATTTCTTAAGTTAGGTTACAGAGACTATGGCTTCCAACTTGGAAGCTCACTGTCTGTCAAAACTTTTTTATAAAAGTGTTGATGTCATGTCAACAAGACAGTTGGGCAACACATGAACTTAAAATCAGTCTCTTTGACCCTAGACAAATCTTGAGCACTAGCCCCTGCTGTCAGATTACTGTGAATTCATGAGCCCTAGAAACTGATTTAATGTCATTCCATCATGTTACCCTAACAAACATTTAGGTTACCAGGTTCTGAGGTATTCTGTTACAGAGCAACACAGAGTAAATACAGCTATTTATTAACAAAAGGAAAAAACACTATCTGAAAGAACCACCAGCAATGTACTATCAAGATGTATGTGTTTAGCACCCCAACGATTATCTTCCCCAATTTGTGATGTTCAGTAGTCTTGTACCTGACCATGTGACAGGATAGCCTTGTGTAGTAAATTATGTGGCCTTGCCTTGGGCTTCTAAAAGATAAGCCATATAATCCCTGATAAATCCTTATTCAGAGCAGGGGCTGACTGTTCCAACCAGAAAGACTAATTTCATCCATTTAATTCTCAAATGATTTAGGATAGGGGTTTGGGAACTAAGGCCTGTCTTCTAGGCTAAAATGAACCATATGGGCAATTGGTCACTTATTCCTACATGAACCTCAATAAAACCTGTGAACACTGAAACTCAGGTGAGATTCCTTAGCTGGCAGTATTTTATGTACAATGTTACACATTAAAACCAGAAGAGTAATTTCTTGGTCCACAGAAAGAGGGCAATAAAAGCTACATGTTTAGAACTCTCCTGGACTCTGTCCTATGCATCTCTTCTTCATTTAGAGACCTTAATCTGCATCTTTTTTCTACAATAAACAATTGTGAATGTACAGCTTTCAGTGAGCTCTGTGAGTTTAACAACTTACAGACCTGAGACAATGGATTGATACTGTGGCCTATTAAGGAACCAGGCCACACAGCAGGAGGTGAGCAATGGGTGAGCCCGTGAACAGATCCCTGGTGCCAAAAATGTTGAGGATCTCTGGTTAAGAGAACTCACTGAACTTGCAGTTGGTCTCAGAAGTAAAAGTGGTAAATACAATTTTTTGTGTAGATGTACAAATATAGTGCCCCCCAATTTTACATTTGGCACAAACTCCATGTAGCTTCCAACAAAATCTCCTGACAGAGGATAAAGGAAAGAAAACACAACACTAGCTTTGAAGACCTCCATGCAAGCTTTCACTTTAGCATTTCATAGGAATGGGATTTCTGCCTAAAAAAACTATTGTATTGATATTACAGTGGGCAGCCTAGAGACACTGAAAAATAACTACCCCGCTACACTTTTATAAAAAAGTTAAATAAAAATACTAACAAAAATGCACTGTTGACTTAAAAATAATTCTTTTGAGTGTACCACTATAAGAAATCTCACAAGCCCCAGGTTCACCCTGCTCAGTATTTTATGACAGTTGGTAAGCATGGATGTTAATCTGGATGATCTGTTAGTTCCCGTTTATGGCCACGAAAAGCTCTAGTTCCCCTTTAAATACTCTATCTTAAGTTAGCTCTGCACTGATTTGTCAAACCAATTCCAATATTTACCTATCAACAGAAGAGCTGCATCCATCACAGCTGCACCATTCAGCATAGTAGCCATCAAAATATCATGGCCGGGACAGTCAACAAAGGAAACATGTCTAACAATCAAAATATAACAACCAGATTTAAGATCAATTAACACTTAAACACACAAATCATAAATTCTTAGTCAAATCACTTCAAAAATAATAAATCTTGCTGTAAAGTGGCTACAAAGCTTAATGTTTCTAGAATTTTGAACGAGATGTTCATGTCCTCATGATCTAACTTTCCTTCATTAACCCTAAAACCCACATACATTACCTGGATGAATCAAAGACATGCAATGACATTCCAAAATTAGATGGAGATATAAGCCAAAGTGTTAAAAATAATTTAAAAATTTCTTTGTTCTTCTGTTACATAAAAAACAGAAACACTACTGCAGACAAAAGAGGTCCGGATAATGAAACCACCAGATATAATTTCATTCTACTTACATGTTAATTCTTCAAAGAACTCACATGTCTGTATTTTAACTTAGATTTACATAATTGGTCTTTCAATTTATCCTTAACTATAACATCCATTCTTGAAAGTTAGTAAGCAACTTTGTAAACTGTAAATCTCTTGCAAGAAAACATTCTTCAAGGTTGCTTACCCACATTTTGCCAAAAATGCATCTGTATCAAGTTTAGATTTAACATCTACACTAAACAGTTTTACGAGCACAAAACAAAAAAGTATGTTTAGCACAAAAGTAATTACCTGACTAATTTGAAGTTCCCTTTGGTCCCTGGAATGTCTGCAGGAAACTCATCAGGTGTACTACTTCCACAGGATCTATAGCATTCAGGCCGAGGACAACTTGTATCATCAAGTTTATATATCTAAAAGTTTCAGTGAAAAGACTGAATTTGTTATCTACATATCTGACAAAGAAAAATGGTTTCTACTTCCATCATATATTATGTACCTTGGCATTAGCGTAGCCAAGTTTGATTGTAATGTTTCTCTCCAATTCATTTTTAAACCTGACAGTGTGAACTCCAGAAATAGCCTTTACAACTGTAGATTTTCCATGAGCAACATGACCAATTGTACCTACAAAAAACAAAAACATTAATATATGTACCTAATTACACCTAATATTTCAGTATAGTTAGAAAAACTGAAACCGTTAATTCACAGCAAATGTTGCAATGTATAACTGATTTCATGTTTTTCCTTCAACATATCATTTTCTACACAAAATTTTGTCTGAAACATTACTGAAAACAATTTTCCATGCACCTGACCAGTTTGTTTAAAAACCACATTTAAATAAGTTATTCAACTTATTAATCTCAAAAAAAGATTACCTTCAATTTTAATAACTAGAAAAAACACAGAATTTTGTACACCAAAAAACTTTCCAGTAGTCTGAGTGAGGTACGTATGAAAATCTGATACAGAAAAAGGAATTCATGAAATCCACCTCAGTTTAATTACAGTAATTAAATATACTTTGAGTGGTGTTATGTTTTATAACTTTTTCATAACTGAGTTGTACGTTCTACTCTTTGCAGACCCTAAAATATGCAAAGTTTACACTCAATCAAGTAAGTTCTAAATTATAAGGTGTCAAAAAAGGAAAATACTTAATAAAAGCTTACGTTCAGAAATTCTATTCTCGCAGGTGCTTATTGGGGCTCAACTCTATTCCTTATATATTGGAATCCTCCTATAATTAGATTTCTTGCACAAGAGATTAAAATTTATTGCTGGAGAGCGGCCAAGTCAGGCTTCCAGAACTGTAGTACGCCATGCAATCATTTAGTCTTACCTATGTTAATTGTGGCTTGTCTGCTGATAACTTCGTGTGAGAGTGGAGTCAATTTGGTAACATCCTGAAATAAAATATTTTATTTTAAACTATCGCAGGTAAAGAAAGGACTTTGATTTCAATTTTAGTATCTACAGCTCGCCAGCCTCCATTCAACTTCTTGCTGATTATAAGCAAGTAACGAGCAGCCTTTTCAGAGGCAGAATTTTACCATCAAGAAGTCCTAAAGGCCTTATACTTGAAAGAGACGACTACTTCCTCTATTCTCTAGGAGAAATGGCAGTTCCAGGCCCCAAATTTTAAAACTGGCGCGCAGCAGAGTGCAAACAGACTCGTCCCAGTCTTTTAAAGGCGCAAACTGTAATGCGTTTTAACAGCTGCTCCTCTCAGACCTCCAGAGGTAAAGACCTTAATGACATTTAACGACAAGTGTTTCAGCCGAATACTCTGAGAGGTCCGGGTCCCAAGATTTCACAGTATCACCCCAAACTCGCAGACTTGGCGAGGTGCAAGTGGCACTGTGTGCACCGCTGAGGGCGTCCTGCTCCCGGGCCAACTCAAGCTCCAGACAGCCCGGTCTTCTCTCTTTTCATCCTCCCGGAAGGCCCTATCACTCCTACTCTCCAACTCACTCTGCTTCCTCCCTGAGCAAAACCTTACCAAAGTAGCGAGATCCTGGTGGGAGAGATGCGGCTGCCCCACAATGACACCAGCCTCGCTCCCCGCCATCTTGCCGGTAGAAGAAGAAAGTCGCCCCGGCTGTTGCCTGACAGTACGCAGGCCCCCTGGGGGAGGCGTAGAGGAGGCGTGAGGGAGGAGGGGGAAGGGCGGGGTGCGGACGACGGAGGCAGCGTGGCCAAAATAGGGTGACTCATACAGGAGTCCTCCTTCTTGAACTTCTGTTCACTGAAAAATAAATAAATAAATAAAATTTGAGAATATATAAATTACAGCCCTGTTCTGTATTTGTGTAGGCAACGCTGAGGGCAGCCCTACAAAAGGCGGGGCTGTTGGACCGCAGGAAGCCGCGCGATGAACTGGTGGTCTCACCAACCATCTCGCGTGTGCCCTGGAGGCTGGCAAGTAGGGCGCATTCTCACGGGGTTCCAGAGGTGGCGTGGGGATGGCAAGTCAAGGTCCAGCGATTGGTTTTAGAGTTTTAGGACGATGGAAGTCTTCGCGAAGACTGTCCACTGGACTCAGAGTGAATTTAACGTCGTTGTCGTAAGAGCACGCATGGGAGATTTTTAAAAACCAGATCCAAGAAAGTACATTTTTTTAGTGAACATTATTAGGAAGTCTATTTAATTTTTTTTTTAATTAAGCCTTATTTCTCCATCATGTATTTAGAAGTAGAGATTGAACACTTCAAAAATACTTATCTCTGGATGGCGAGGTTATGATTTGTCTCCCAGCATTTTTGCACTGTAAACAATAAAAAATAAAGAGGCTAGAACTGATTTAATTCAGTAGATATCTCAGACTTGGCATAGCCCAACTGAAAGCCTGATTTCCTTTCAATTATGTTTCTCTTCCATGTCGATGTCATTTCTGGAAATGACAACTCCTGTCTTTCCAGTTGCTCAGGAAGAAAGCATACTGTTATTCTTGAATATTCTCAAAAGAATGATATGTTATCAGTTTGCCCCTTGTACTGGGCTTGCAGGTGCCTGTGGAGGATAAGCTGGGCACCCAGGTCAGCTGCTGCCAGTGCCTGGGTTCAGTCTACTCAGCAAAATGTGTGGGGCACACTAATATCATATATTGCTTGTTTGGGATTTGTGAACCTTTGAAAGATTATAGGAAAAGTTTGCAGCATGAGCCAAGACAGTCTAGTTGTGTGGGAAACCTTGGTTGGGCCCACAGTTGAGTGGGCTGTGGGGAGTGAGGGAATGGGGTGTTCTCAGGAAGCCCGCTGTTAGCCAGGTTGCTGGCGAACTCATGGTCGCACCCTGCATCTACAGATAGGAAACGGAAGGCACTACAAAGAAACAACAGTCTCCACCAACACTTCTGTGTTGGAGAAAGCTACTCCTCCCTCACCCTAAAGCCAGCAGTTCAACCGTGAGTGTGCATGCAGGCCTCTTATGAGGAATGCGTAAGACTGTAATGGCCCTACATCTTATTCAGCCATGTTTTTGGCTAATTTTCACTGTGGTAAGTTGTGGGGATTTCTTTTACTGGCACTAGAACTCTGGGCTGGGGAGCCTTGTGTGGGTCTGGGTCCCCAAACTTCTTAGGGGCAACCTCCACAGCCAGTTCTCAAACCTCACATGAATGTGAAACAAGCCCTTTTTGTGTCTCTGCCCCTCTACTAGTCTTGAGGTGGCTTCTGTATGTCCTTAGTTGTAGGACTTCTGTTCAGCTATATTTCAAGCAATTGTCAATGATGGTTATTCTATAGTTTTATTTGTAATTTTGATGTGAGAGGAGGTGAACATAACATTTCCTTACACCATCATCTTGACTGAAAATTCATTTAATATCCTTAAAACTCTTAAAGAATACATTATCCCAAATGCATTATCGCATTCATTATCACAATACTTTATCAAAAAACACCTGTGTCATCTGAGTCATTGGCATTAAGTATAACCCAAGCATACATTTTTATTCTAACACCTAGAACCTTGTAGGGCTCTTGGATGTAAAACTTATGAGAGTGTGATCTTTTGTTGAAAACTGAACTATTCAAAAAGTAGTCACCTCTTACGGACTGCCCCTGAACAGAGGAAAATCTTCAATATTCAGCCCAGTACAAAGACTTAAGGTCCATTTGGCCTTTCTAGGTGTGGGTCCCAGATCTGGCTGTGATCCAGACTTGCAGCTAGGGATAGGACTCTGGATTTAGAATGTTACATTAGTGTAGTAGGGTACCTGTCTAAAATATGTAAATATGATTCAGCTTTTTGTATCACGCATGTGTGGCAGATTGCCACTATTGTCCTCTATGTTTAAAGTCCATACGGTCTCCTAGCATGAGAGAGAAGAGAGCTCCCCATAATAAAGTTGGTACCTGCTGTTTCATTCTCATATCAGCTCTTCAAGAATTCTTTCATCTGGGCATCTCACCACCAAAACCTTCCCTTATTGATCAACTCGGCGCTGATATGTGTAGCTAGCAGGATGAAGTGGCTACAGCCTCCTGGGCTCTGGACGGTTCTCGGGTGGAGGATACCCAGGTGGAGGACATGTGGCCCCCCAGCCTCCAAGTTGTATCCTGTGGCTGTGTATCTGGCTACATGGATGCCCGGATAATTGGGATGGAGTGAAGCTGTTTATATTAGTGGGTTGGATGGCCTGGATGTTCCTTGTGAAGCTGCAGCAGGCCAGCCTGAAGGTTCAGGACCAGGCCCAGTGGGGCAGCAATTGCAACATCAAGAAGAAGCACTGGAAAGGTGGCTGGCCGCAACGGAACACATGCTGCGGGACCTTGATGGTTTGCTGCCATTGTCCTGGTCTGGAAGCCCACCAGGCACATTGCAGCAGGTGTGGCACATGGTACGGCACCAGGTTGAAGTGGAAGAGCCTTTGGCCCTTGTGGGTGGACGGGGAGAAGCTGGTGGCACACCCCCAGGCTAAAAAGCATACCACCTTGATCCAGTACACCCCCTCTGAACTCTGGGACCTGATGATGGCAGAGAGGTGTGAAGATGGTTCCGGAGTGGCTGCTGCCGCTGTGGGGTGACAGGGCAGAAGGGACTGACTTATCACCAGCAGAGATGGCTCAGCTGGCCTCTATAATAGTGATACTGTCCCTCTGGCAGCACCTTCACAATGTGGCATATATGGTGCGGGGTGCAGGCAACCACTCTGATTAACTGGCTCATGCATGTCGCACAGACAGTGTGGGACAACCCAGGGAAGCTGCAAGAGGCAGTGAGCAGATAGACCAAGTACCTAGATTTGGTCCAGATAACTTGGGAAATGGGCATGAGACAGATGATGTTTCGCACCCACTATACAAGCCCAGATGAAGAAGCATATACTAGCCATGATAAAAGGGACTTGATTTCGACCTCTGGCCTGACTGGTACTTTTGACACCATGGCAGCACTGCTGGCCCCTTACGTGGATAGGAGGATCCACGAGGTGACATTCACCATAGCTAGGTTGGGGAAAGTGGAAGTGAAAAGCAAGGAGTGTCCCACCCAAGTGCATGCTATACCACCCTTTGCACTCCCAAACCAGCTAGTGCACAGTCAGAGGTGTGGCTAAAAAGGGGGGACGGAGCAGCCCTCAGCCCATTGGACTGTGGAACTGAGCCACTAGCAGATGTTTGATCTCGCAGCAGGGGTTGCTTCAGAAAAGACTAAGCAGAAACCTAATGAAGTGCTGCTGGCGCTGTGGAATTAGCTGTGCCCTGACCAACAATTCACTCTTATTCCTGGAAAAGCCACAACAATCTCTGAGGTGTGGATGGCCAATTATCTCCCTGATTAGAGATTAGGCCAGGACACCATGTTGGTGAAGGAGCCAGTTGACCTGAGGCCACATGTGAAACTGACTAAGCATTGGTCCTTCTCGCAATGTGCAGAGGATATTAGCCCTCGTGGACACAGGTGCCGCACCCTGCTTTATGGGAATCTGGACAAGTTTCCCAGACCCGTTGGTGTTTCCCGAAGCTAACCGGAGAGTGAACACAAACCAGTATCACCTGCTGGGTGGCCATGAGGAAAAAGGAAGCACCATTCTGAAGCTAGAGAAAGCCAGTGTTATTCATCCTGCTCATAGCATGTACAACTCTCCCATGTGGCCAGTGAAGAAGCCTAATGGCTCCTGAGCATGACGGTTGACTATTGGGAGCGGAATAAGATTATGCCACCCCTGCATGCTGCCATGTTGAACATCACAGACATTATGGACTGGTTGTCACATGAACTTGGATGATACCATTATGTGGTGGAATTGGCAAATGCCTTTTTCTCTATTGCCATAGCCCCAGAAAGTCAAGAACAGTTTCCCTGTCACCTGGGAAGGGTGACAGTGGACATTCCTTGTCCTTCCCCAGGGCTATCTGCATAGCACTACCCTGTGTTATGGTCTCTTGGCTCAAGACTTAGCCATGTGGAAACAACCAGCTGTAGTGCACTTGTATCATTACATTAATCAAGTAGTGCTAACCTCTGATTCTCTTATAGAACTAGGAGCAGCGCAGGCCTGCCTGTGAGAAGTTCTTACCAGCCGGGGTTGGGCAGTCAATGAAGACAAGGCCCAGGGATCTGAGTTGTCTGTCAAATTCTTGGGAGTTGTCTGGTTGGGTAAGATGAAAGTAATGCTGTAGGCAGTGATTGATAAGATACACACATATCCCCAACCTGAGACTGTGAGACAGCTTTAAACCTATTTGAGACTGCTGGGGTTTTGGAGAGTTTTCATTCCCCATTTAGCCTACTTCATGTGACCCCCTGCACCATATACTGCGATAGAGTGCCCAGTGGTATTGGACACCCGAGATAAAAGAGGCCTATAAGGCTACAAAGCAAGCTGTAGCACAAGCCCAAACTGTATGTGTTGTAGATCCAGCTCTCCCAGGATGATGTAGGGTTTGGATGAGGCTTGTGGCAGAAGCATGATTCCTGGAAAGTAACAATAGGCTTCTGGTTCCTGTTATTGAAAGATGCAGAAACGCAACATTCTCTGACAGAGAAGCAACTGGCTGCCATATATGCAGCCCTTCTGGCCAGTGAGGCCATTGTGCAGTCCATGTACTCCATGGAGGGGTGGCTGTGGCCTCAAGGAAGATTCCTTGTATGGAAATTACACAGATCCCTACACTGACCAAGTAGGCAGCATACCTGGAGCAGTGGGCACAGTTCTTGCAAGCCCCCTGTCAGATCAACTGCACCCCCTATTGGCACAAGTGCAGTTCCAAGCAGAGCCCCTGGTGGAGCCTGCTGAGATGGGAGATATACCAAGACCCTATGTAGAGGGTCAGGCTCCCATCCCTGAGGATGCATTGTACACAGATGGCTCGTGCCACGGGTAGCCCTTGACATGGGCTGCTGTGGCACTGCAGCCATCCACAGAAACTTTTTAGTATGAGACCAGTGCTGGGCAGTCCAGCCAATGGGCAGAGCTTCATGCCACATGGTGAATGAAACTGGCCTGGTGCACGTCTGCCCTGCCAGTTGGGCTGTGTATCGAGATCTAACTCTGTGGCTGCCCCAGGATTGAATGATAGGCCGCCATCCCCTGGAGATGGGGATTCTGGGAAGACTTCTGGAAGTGAGGTCTTCAGCAGGGGTCCACCATATACCATGTCCCTGGCCATCGGCTGTTACAGGCCCAGGGCAGTATTGCAGCTGATGTGCTGGCAAAAGTCCTCTCCACCCGTGTACTGCTGGTTCTAGTGGACATTGGCTCCTGGCTCCACTGAAAACTGTGGCATGTAGAAGCCCAAAATGGAAGAGATAGTGAAGTGATGGGGCCTATTGCTGACCTGGGCACAAGCTAAAGCTGCCGTGTCACAATGCTCCTGGTGTGCTGAGCAGCACCCAGAGAGATGGTAGGTAAAGAGTACCTCAGGGGTGGTGCCCCATGAGGCTAAGCCACTCCAGGAATGGCAAGTGGACTACGTAGGGCCTTTGCCCACAGACCAGGGACACTGCTATGTGTTCACAGGTGTGGACACGGCCATTGGCCTAAGGTTTACATGGCCAGTGGCAGCTGCTGATCAACACCATACTGTGACTGCATTAGAGCACCTCACAGCTGCCTATGACTGGCCCTTATTAATCACCAGTGACAAGCCAATAATTTTACAGGATTGGAAGTTAAGTCATGAGCCCACACATGATTTTGCTGACAGTTACATGTTCCTTATTGCCCACAGGCAGGTGGAATGGTAGAAAATTCAACGGCTTACTGAAATACAAACTATGTGCCTTGGGCCCGGGCTGGTGTCATTGGTACACTAACCTCCCACAGGCTAAAACTCTTTTAATGGATGAAACCACACAAATGCGGAAAGAAGTTCTGCAAAACCACATGGCCCTTGACCTTTTAACTGCTGCCCAGGGCGGCACCTGCGTCTACATTCTCGATCATGCCAATCAGGCACAGGCAGCCCTGTAGAAAATGGATGCTGAAGTCCAAGCCATCCATGCCCTGGGAGAAGACCCCTTGACAACTCGGTGGGATTCCTTGGGGTCCTCCTGGTGGTGGACAGGAACCATCCTACCCCTTGTAGCCTGTAGCCTGGTAGTATTTTGATGTTCTTTATATCGTTGTTGTGGATTGTGGGCCCAAGGTAGCACCCTCTGAGCCAGATCCCACGTCACAACCCTGTAAGAGTGGAGTGTGGGTCCCCAGTCTGGCTGTGATTTAGGCTCGCGGCTAGGAATAAGACCCCAAATTTAGAATGTTACATTAATGTAATAGAGCACGTAATTTATGTATATAAATTTTCTGACATATGTAAAGCCCATGCGGTCCCCTACCATGAAGGAGTGCACTCCCTGCAATAAAGTTGGTGCCAGCTGTTTCATTCTCATATCGGCTACTCATGTGTTCTTTCACCTGGGAGTCTCACCACCGAAACTTTCCCTTCTTGATCAGCTTGGCACTGACACTAGGTGTGTGTCTTTCTAGGGCATGTTTGTGCTTGTGCATGTGTGTTTGTGTGTGTGTGTTATGAATCCTCTTATATAGATGATTGTTTTTAAATGCCTTGATTTCCCTAATTGTGGCATCCCTCTTTTCTTCTCCGGGCCTTAGAATTCTATTATATTTCTCTGCCTATAATCTCTTACCCCTAGGCACCTGTAAGTATTACATGCCCACGACACTGCTTTAATCTGATACCAAAGCTATGTCACAGCTTCTATCCATGTTTCAAGTTGAGTGAAAGACACTGGTCTTTCAGGTAGCCCCCAGACAAACCACTCTTTTTCAAGAGAAGAATCAGGAATTAGGCAACTTCCTTCCAAATGCTTTATGCCATAGTAAACGAGGGGAGGGGTGAGACAAGGGTGAACAAAACATCATGAACTATCACACATGTTTGGGTGTTGCCTTTTCTTGCTTAGGTATTGGCTTAGTTGCTGTATCTTCTTAACTGGTTTTTAAGATTCACAAAGCTCTTTGGTCCACATGTTTATTTGATTTGTGCAGAAGAATAAAAGCCTTAAGCTTTATAGTCTGCCCAACCTTACTGACATCACTCTGTTGTTTGTTTGGCAAAGAAAAAAGTTTTAAATAAATTGGAAAAAAAGAAAAGAATAAACATATAAAAATCATTGAAAAACTTCAGAAATTAACAGAGAAATAATTAAGAATGGTAAAATAACAAGGAAATAGTAAAATTTTAGATTTTAAAATTTTAACTCAAACTTATTTATTCAGAAAATTGTTCATGTATCACAGTTAAGAATTGACCATGAAAAATTAGTCTTATGATTAAAACTTTTATTTGACTTTCCTTCTGTCCTGTCGTATTTGTAAATAAAGTATTTATTAATATGAAAAGTTAACTTAAGTGAATTCATTTTTAAATGGAACCCAAACAGCCATTTCAGAAGAAAAGCCTTGTTCCTTGAGTCTTTGGAATGTTTTAAGTGGGCAAAATAATCTTTAGTCTAAGCCAAACCCACATGGTCTTACCAATAGTTTGTAAATCTAACAGAAAAGCAGATATCCTGACTACAAGGAATAATGAATATGGACTCTCTTCAGAATCAGTAATCAAACACATATAGCTAAAGAGGAACTTAGCTTGTTAGCACTAGTAATAATTCCTTTCTTCTACTTGTGTAATTATTTCCCTAACTTCTATCATTAAAAATCTCTTGACCTCAATCTATAATCAGGACACTATTTGGGTTTCTGCCTGACTTGCAATTTTTTAATCCCAAATAAAAGTTTATTGCCACTAATTTTTGGATTTTTATTTTTAGGTCAACACGCTATTGAGATTATTTCTAAAAATAAGGTGGAAATCTCATAAACCAGATAAAAAATGGTTTTAAGTCACTTAAAATTTACATTATTTTTTACTTTTAAGGCCTCTGTACTGTTATTTAATTTTTGAAAATAGTTTATTACTATTGTACTCAAATTAGAAGGAAAGTGGACTTTCTAAGCACATTTATATATAGATATATAAATTTTTGATCTATGTCGTTTTTTTTTTTTCATTGAAGAATGTCTCAATACTTTTTGCAAAGCAAGTTCACTGGCAAACAATTTTTCAATTTTTATTTGCCTAACAAAGTCTTTATCCTATTTCTATTTTACTTTTGAAGAGTAATTTTATTGAAGACATAATTTTTTTTCTTTCCACACTAAGTGTTTCACTTCAAACTCTTCTTGTTTCTAGGTTTCTGAAGAGAAATATGTAATTTGTACAGTTGTTCCTCTGTAGATAAGATTTCTTATGACCATCCCTTGTTCTTCAAAGATTTTTTCTTTGTCTTTGATTTTCTGCTGTTCAGATGTGATGTGCTTTAGTATTTACACTGATTGGTGTTCTCTAAAGCTTCTTGGAGCTGTGATTTGGAAATAATTCTCAGTCATTATTTCTTTAAAAAAAATTTGTCTTTATTGAAATATAATAGTTTCTTATATTTACATTGTATAATTCAATAAGTTTTTTATACTTACAGTTGGTATACAATAATATATCACTCTAAGTTGTACAGCGTAGTGATCAGGGATGCACATAACTAGCAAAGTGATCTAAATCTAGTGTCCTTCTTCCCTCTTACATTTTTATTACAATATTATTAACCTTCTTCCCCATGCTACACTCTACATCTCCATGTCTGTTTTCCTGCTATACATTTGTACCTCTTAATCCCTTTGCTTTTTTTTTTTTTTTGCCATCCCCCAACTCCCCTCTCGTCTAGTATCCTAAATATTCTCTGTATTATGAGTTTATTTCCACTTTTGTTGTTGTTGTTGATTTTGTTCTTTAGATTCCACATATCCATGAAATCATGCGGTATTTGTCATTATCCATCCAGTTTCATTCAGTGCAATACCCTCTAGGCAATATCTTTTTCCATCTCCTTCCTTTTAGTCTGTGTGTGTCTTTTAATCTGAAGTGAGTCTCTTGTAGACAGCCTATGTCAGGGG